GAACTGGGTCACTCCAGTCAGTGCTCAAGAGCTCCTCCTTGTTCTGTGCTCAGGGTCACTCCTGGCAGTGCTTGGAGGCCATGGGTGATGCTGGGGATAGAACTGGAATGGGTGGTTGCAGGCAAGGCAAATAAGTCCGTTTTTCCAGTGACTCATGCCTCTCGCATATAACACAGGTCATAGCAATATTTTTTTATTCGTTGTTTTTTTAAAATGATTTTTTAAATTGAATCACTGTGAGATGGACAAAGCTGTTCATGATTGGGTTTCAGTCATACAGTGTTCCAACACCCACCCCTCCACCAGTTTAATTTCCCAGCACAAGGGTCCCTAGTTACCCCCCATCAACCCCCACTTCTTGCCCCATCCCACCCCACAGACTGCTTCTATGGTAGACACTTTTCTTCTCTCTGTCTGTCTGTCTGTCTCTCTCCTTTCGGTTGTTGTGGTTTGCAAAACAGATACTGAAAGGTTATCATATATATATCAGTAACAACAAATCTCACAATGGAGACATTACTGGTGCCCGCTCGAGGAAATTGATGAACAACGGGAGGACAGTGCTACAGTGCTACCTACTATTAATACTCAGTTCTTGTCCAGTGTAGGTGTCCATTAAGGTGTCCATTAAAGGCCCTCCCGTTGATCGTCGATTTGCTCGAGCAGGCCCAGTAACGTCTCCATTGGAGACTTTGTTGTTACTGTGTCTGGCATATCGAATACTCTCAGTAGCTGGCCGGGCTCTCCGAGAGGGGCGGAGGAATCGAAATTGGGTCGGCCATGTTGGCCGCTTGTAAGGCGAACGCCCTACCCGCTGTGCTACCATTTCATTAAGGGCATCCAGATAGGAAAGGAAGAAGTCAAGCTCTCACTTTTTGCAGTTGACAGAATACTATACTTAGACAACCCTAAAGTCTCTACCGAAAAGTGCCTAGAAACAATAGATTTGTAAAGTGGCAGATTACAAAATCAATACCCAAAAGTCCTATATGCAAATAATGAAAGAAAAGAAAGTGATATTAAAAAAACAATCCCTTTGGGGCCGGACCGATAGCACAGCGGGTAGGGCATTTGCCTTGCACACGGCCGACCCGGGTTCGATCCCTGGCACACCATATGGTCTCCTGAGCACTGCCAGGAGTAACTCCTGAGTGCAAAGCCAGGAGTGCAAACCCTGAGCATTGCTGGGTGTGGCCCAAAAAGGAAAAAAAAAATTCCATTCAGGCCATGGCAATTAATCAATAAAATGAGACTGTGGAGATGGCTCTCCTTAGTAATCCCGTAGGAGTCTTGCTTCTCCCTAGTTCAAAGCCCTGCCCAGGTGGCGGGTAAGTTTCCAGAAAGTTTAAGCCAAGGTATTTGCTCATCGTATATCCCCAACTGCCGAGAAATGCTGCCCACACTTTCCTGCTTATCCAAATTGTGAAACTGATTTTTCTTTCCTCTGATGGATATCAGCATTTCCTGTGATATGATAAAGGGCTCTCCTCAGAACGCAGAGACACGTTTGTAAAGACTAGAAATTGGAGATGAGACACAGGAACTACAAGGAGTGGACAAGAGTCAGGTTACTGCTCCCGGCAGTTATGCATTCTCCTCGTGTGTGAGTTACTGAAATTCAGATCGATGGGTTAGGATGACTGAAAATAATCCCAATTAAGAGCAAGTCACGGCCCGATTGTCTAATGGAGATCACCATTTTCAACCAGCTCTTCAACAAGGCATCGCTGCCAGTAGCTTTTCTCCAGTGATGAGATTGATGGAGAATATTTATAGCACAGCGGGTAGGGCCTTGTATACGGCTGACCCGGGTTCGATTCCTCCATCCCTTTAGAGAACCGGGCAAGCTACTGAGAGTATCCCGCCCACACAGCAGAGCCTGGCAAGCTCCCGGTGGCATATTCGATATGCCAAAAACAGTAACAACAAGTCTCACAATGGAGACTTACTGGTGTTTGCTCAAGCAAATCGATGAACAATGGGAGGACAGTGCTACAGTGCTTGGGAGAGAGTGAGACTACTAAAACTCAGCTTACACTTGCAGTTATAAAAATAATTTCTTAGGACAAGCACCTAGGAAAAATGACCCGAGGCGCCTTCCTCTCCCTCTAACTCTTGGTGAACGCATTCTCAAGGACATAGGGCCTTGAGGTCTCCGGGGTCTCCCGTGAGAAGCTTTCTGCTTTCTACTCTCTGTTCTGCTCAGTTATAAAATTCCCTTATAAAGGCAGAGCAACCCTTTCAATTGGCCGACGTCTATGGATTGAGATTAAAGTGATGGAGGTAGTAGGTTCTGGCAAGAAATGGCTTAGGGGGCTTGCCTGCCCTCTCTGACTTGCTTGGCACAAACGCCCCAATTTGCAGCCACGTGGAAACTGCAGGGAATCCTCTTGCCAGGGGTCTGAGAAGCTGCCCTGCAATGTTCCCCGAGGGGAATCTCCTAAGGTGATGCCCAGGGCACCCCAGAACTCGGCAGCGATTAGCGAAGACACTCAGGGTGCAGGGTACTTGCAGGGCTGAGGGGTTTAGCTTAGGGTATTACTCAAAGTATTTAGCCACTAGGGGCCTGGGCAAAAAAAAAAAAAAAAGGGTAGGGCACTTCCTCAGGGCCACCCTGGGTTTAGTATCCAGCATCCGATATGGCCTCCCAAGCACTGCCAGGAGTAATTCCCGAGTGCAGAGCCAAGAATAAGTCCTGAGCACTGCTGGGAATGCCCCCCAAATCAAATAAACAACACCAAACAAATTAAACACTAGTCATGCTCAGGTACTGAATTTCTGAGTGCTGGATTACTGGGTTATAGTCTTGACTTTCCTGTGCCACACTAAGCCCTTTCAGTGTTGGATGGGGCCCAGGTGTGGTGTGCATGCATGCATGTGTAGAGTGTGCTGCTGTATGTTGTATATGTGTGTTGTCCATGTGTGTAGTACATATATTATGCATGTGTGTGGTGTTTGGTGTTTATATGTGTGCATACACACGTGTGGGAATGTTGGAGTGTGGTGTGGCAAATATATGTGCATAGTTGGCGTGCAAGTAATATGTACTGTAGCACTGTCCTCCCATTGTTCATCAACTTACTCAAGCGGGCCCAGTAACGTCTCCATTGTGAGACTTGTTACTGTGTTTGGCATATCGAATACGTCACGGGTAGCTTGCCAGGCTTTGCAGTGAGGACGAGATACTCTCGGTAGCTTGCCAGGCTCTCCGAGAGGGGCAGAAGAATCGAACTCGGGTCGGCCAGGTTGGCCACGTGCAAGGCAAACACCCTACCCGCTGTGCTATCGCTCCAGCCTGTAATATGTACATGCATATGAAAAGTTTTTGTGTGGAATATTAGTGGCATGTGTGTGTTTGGCATGTCTCTGCATGTTGTTTGGTATGTGTGTGTGTGAGGGAGGATGTTTTGTGTGTGGTATGTATGCATGCACAAAAGACAAAGCCAATAGGAGAGAGGACGCAGAATCATGGGAATCTTTCTTCGAAGAGCCTGGCCCAAAGACCAGAGTTATTATGCTGGCTTAGCAGGAAAGTGATCAGAACAAAGCTCTTCAAATCCTCAAATTGCCTTTTTTTTTGGTTTTTGGGTCACAACCGGCAATGCTCAGGGGTTACTCCTGGCTCTGCATTCAGGAATTACTCCTGGCGGTGCTTGGGAGACCATATGAGATGCTGGGAATCGAACCCGGGTCGGCCGCGTGAAAGGCAAACACCCTACCTGCTGAAAGGAAGCCCTAGTCTCAAAACCCACCTCTGTAGGGTTGATGCTGCTTCTGACTCTTCCTACCCCATTTCCTGCTAAAAGAGACGCACTTGCAAGGCAGATGTGGTGTTCCTTGATACCCCTGGGTGCAGGCTCGTGGCATTGCCTGAGTGTGTGTGTGGGGGGAGCTGGGGGGTCCAAACACAAGCCAGCTGTCTGCCTCAAGCCAGTCACAGGCAGTGGCAGGGTTGCCCCGAGTGCAGGTGTGCGGGTTCCCAGCAGAGACCAGCTTTCCAGTATGTGTGTGGGGTGATATTGATCCCTGCCCAGGATGCAGGCGCGCAGGTGTGCCGGCTGGGGGTGCGACAGGGAGCAAAACAAGCTTCCCACCTGCTCTGCATTTCTAGAAGGCCTCTCCCAAGTCGGGACTACAAAGCAGGAACCACAAACAGGGAGGGAGAATAGAGAGACCCGGACCGAGCCCAGCAGTGGCCTCTCAGGCTAGAAAAAAATAATGAGAAAAGCAAACGACGAATTCTGGGAAGCAATTATGCCCGGGACACTGCACTCGACCCTGGCAATTGCTTCCCTGTACCCTGCCTCGGGTGGTGGGTAGCACTGCACTGTAGCACTGTCCTCCCTTGTTCATGGATTTGCTCGAGCGGGCACCAGTAACATCTCCATTGTGAGACTTGTTGTTACTGTTTTTGGCATATCGAATACGCCACGGGGAGCTTGCCAGGCTCTGCTGTGCCGGTGGGATACTCTCGGTAGCTTGCCGGGTTCTCCGAGAGGGGCGGAGGAATAGAACCTGGATCGGCCGCATGCAAAGCAAAAAACGCCCTATCTGCTGTGCTATTGCTCCAGCCCACCTCAGGTGGGTAGAACAAAAAAACTGCATGCTCCCCCACCTCTTCTTTCCCGGGATCTGGAACCTCAGAGCTTGCGTGTCAGTGGACACGTTTCCCTCACCGGCTGTGTACAAAGTTGCTCACTGGTTCCTCCAAATTGTGCTCAGGCCAAAGCCAAGGGGAGAAGCTGCCAATTCCGCGCTCCAGAGGGAGAGACGGAACCACAGCCACACTCTGCTGGGAGCAGAGTCACAGCCACGGAAGCCTGATGGCACAGCGTGCTGTGTTCGAACCGGACACGCGGGGTTTGCAAGGCCAGTCTCGCCTGTTAAACCAACCCGGGGGGAACTTTCCCCAATGAACCCAAGAGGTGATTTTACACCCTGACGTGCTTGACCCTGTTTGGGAGAGACAGTGTAGGGGGCCGGCCTGCAGACCGAGCTACCTGGGTCTTTGTAAATCCCGAGCACACCCTTGAAGTAATGAGGTAAAAATCTTTCCAGTAAAAGCAGCACATCTTCCAGCTCCTCCAGAATGCCCACAAGCAGGAAGTTTTCGTTGACGTTCAGCTTGGCTCTTTCGAGCGCCCACTCGCCAGGCTCCCTGGATGGAGAGAGAGAGAGAGAGAGGTGATGTGTCAATCAAAGACTCGCGACACGGCAGCCATGCACACTGAAAGCTTGGTGCTTTTCCCCTCCCTTCCCCCTCACTCAAACTGATCTTTCTTCCATCGGGGGAATGTTCCCTGCTGCTGGGGCCTCCACACTTCTGTCCCCTCTCACCTGGGTTGAGGGTCCAGCCCACAGCCTTGAACCTGATGCATCTGCCTTGGCACGTGTTGAGAGAAGAATACCCAGGGCATAGGTGCTCCCAGCAAAGACCAGTTTCCTGGGGGCACTGGTAATTGCCCAGGATGCAGTGCATGCACTGAACATATGTGAAGCATGTGCTGAAACAAACACTGATGAAGGTGTAATTTGATGGAGTTTTCAGGTGGTCTCCCTTGGGGCTGGCGATCCAGGGACCAATCCCTGGAATGGCTCACCCTGCTGTGAGGGCTGGATAGTTTGAAGTTTAGGGCACTGTGGTGAGGAGCTGATGGTTCCAGCCATGTTCAGAGGACACTGCAGGGCCAGGGAGCAAATTCAGGGAGGGCATCATGCATGCCAGGTCTGATAGGAGTGATAGGACAGTGGATAGGGTGTTTGCTTTGTGCACAGCTGACCTGGGCTCAATCCTCGCCACCCATATGGTCCCCTGAGTCCTCCAAGAGTGATTCCTGAGTGCAGAGCTAGGAGTAAGCCCTGAGCACTGCTGGGTGTGACTCCCCAAACAAAAACAAAGCAAATAAAATTTTTTAAAAAAAGAAAATATTAAAGCATGCAACTTACTGACACAATTCTATTGAAAGTATTTCTGTAGAAATGAAAACTAATGTCATGTCATTTCTACACATCAGTTTATTATTTTAAAGAATTTAAAGACTTTAAAGGGCCAGAGAGGTACTATTGAGTTAAGGCATGTGCCTTGAATGTGATCAAACCCAGTGAATCCAGGGTACTATTTATGGTTCCCGAGGACTTCCAAGGGTAACCTCAAGTGTCAGCCCAGAGTAATCCATGAGTCCTGCCCATGGGGTCTCAAACCCATCCAAACATAAACTAAACAGACATAAAAAGTTCACCAGGTATAGCCCACGCTCGGCCCCATCCTTCCCTCCAATAGTTAGGGAAGGAAAGCAACCTTTGTTTCTTATCTCTGAGGGCAGCTCTTAGGGCCAAGCCCGGCATGGATATCCAGGAAGTGTGCTTAGCATTTAGGTAGGTGGGGGAGGGATGGGCAAGTGAGGACTGGCTTTTTGAAAATTGTCATCACGCACCATTTTCAACTCACAGACATGTAGTCATGGGTGGGATCTTGAGTACTGAAAGTTGTGGTGTGAAGGCCACAACAAGTGGTCATGAGGATGCTACCGAGATTAGGGAATCCAGAATATTTTTTTTTCCTTTTAGGTCACACCCAGCAATGCTCAGGGGTTACTCTTGGCTCTGTACTCAGGAATTACTCCTAGTGGTGCTTCAGGGACCATATGGAATACCAGGTATTGAACCCGGGTCAGCCATGTGCAAGGCAAATGCCTTACCCACTGTATTATTGCTCCAGTCCTAGGGAATCCAGAATTTTTAAAAAATGTGAGGGAGTTAAAGGCATGTTTGGGGGAACAACTATCTTTATTTTTTTTTGGTTTGGTTTCAGGGGCACACCCGGTGATGCTTAGGGATTACTCCTGACTCTGCCCTACACAGGAATTTCTCCAGGCAGTTTTCTGGAGACCATATGGGATGCTGAGGATTGAACCTGGCTTGGCTGCGTGCTAGGCAAGTGCCCTACTCACTGTACTATTTCTCCAGCTTCGGGAAATCCAGAATATTTAAAAAGATGTGAGGGAGGTAGGGGAATTTTGGGGGGAATACAAACCTTTTTTGGAGTTTGTTTTCTGGGTCACACCTGGCAATGCTCATGGGTTACTCCTGGCTCTGCACTACTCAGGAATTATTCCTAGTGGTATTCCGGGGATTATATGGGATGCTGGGGATTGAACCTGGGTTGGCTGTGTGCAAGGCCAGTGCTCTCCCCACTGTCCTATGGCTCCAGCCCAGGGGGAATAAATATCTTGATGGTGATAAAAAGTGAATCATAGTGGTGGTGACGGTAAATCAACTGGCCTCTGAACTGGCCATCATCCGAAATTCTGAACTTGAATCAGTGTTTATGAAGGGGGCGAGGATGCGGGAGACTCCTGAGCTCAGGAAGTTTAGGATGACGCAGAATATAGATCATTCTAAGTGATGAGTTGCAACATCAAACAGGCCGGTGCTGTGGCAAATCTGACCAAACCATGAAAGAGCAACACACATGTTCATGACGCACCAATAACTCCTGACGCAAAACGGTTCCAGGAATGCACTTTGGTGTGGAAACAGTCATCTCTCCCCCAAATCTTTAGGAACATATCTGACCTTCTCATCAGAGTCACCTTTGGGCAAAATGTCACTTCCATTTCAAGCAAATCTTTCAATGGGAAGAGAACTTACTTCTCACCAAGCCAAGAGCACATTCATTGTTCCTGCCATCCCTTCCTGGGGCTCCAGTTTGGTCTGGTATGAGAAATTTCACCTTAACCTGGGCCAAAATCACCTGACAAGGTAGAGACACCAGAACCCCAGTTCCAAGACAGGGTTCCTATGAAGTGCCTCAAGGAAATTGGAGGCAAGAAGTGGGTAGACTCCACTCTGAGGGTTTTACTCTCTGAGTCAGCCCCTTTTTCTTCATTTAGGGCTTGGGGGCCACAGCTGGCCATGCTCAGGGCTTACTCTTGGCTCTGTGCTCAGGGATCATTCCTGGTGGTGCAGATGGTCCCAAAGGCAGTGCTGGGGATTGAACCATGCAAGGTCAGCTCCATGCAAGGCAAGTGCCTTACCCCCTGTACTATCTCTCCACCATAAGCCTTTTTAAAAGGGCCTCACAATCAACTGAAGCTGAGGGATGGTCACAGAAAAGCATGTTGTCTTCTATTATTATTGTTGTTGTTATTGTGTTGTTATCATTTTTTATGTGGGGAGGTTGGGTCCACACCCTATAGTACAGGGCCTATTCCTGGCCCTGTTCTCAGGAGTGACTGATGGTAATGCTCAGGAGATTCATAATTGGGACCGGGAACAACCTTCCTTCTATTAAAGAAAGGAAATGTCTCAGGAGAGAGTGTGGAGCCTGGGATGGGAGGGGCAGCTTTCGGACAGTTGTTGAAAATGTTCAGTTGTGGTGGGGGGCAGGCTGGGTGCTTGCTGCTCTGGTTGGTACCATCTGGTCGGGTGTGTCCTCGGCACAGGAGGAGGATATCATTGGCCCTTCAACAGCACCACTTAATGGACTGCCTCCAAGGCCTCTCTCTGTGGGACCTCACGTCTCCAAAAACAATCTTGATCTTTCAAGATTATCAGTCAATATAGCAACATAGTAAGTTCCACTAAGTCAGGGGATGAGGGACCCAGAAGATACCCAGAACAGGCCGGGCAGGCCCCTGCTCACTGTTCTCTACCTACACCCACGCAACACGCCTTTCAGTGTTACCTGCATCTGGGATGTTGTCCACAGAAGTATGGGATGATGTAAAATAACCTGGGGTTGGAGCACTCGGGATAGTTCTCGAGAATGCACTCGTTGATGTCCTAGGAGAGAAAACACAACAGTGAGATGTTCCCTGGCCTCTTACGCAACATCCATGCACCCACGAGAGCCTGAAATCCTCCTGGATTCTCCCGTCTCCTCACGGGCGGGCCTGGAGCAGGTGGGCGGCAGTCAGTGGACTGCCTGGACACAAGTGCTGGACCTCACTTTCTTTCGGCCTCAAGCCACCCTGTTCCACTGGGCAGGCGCACAGATGGTCCAGCTACTGCTGAGCAAGCCTGTTCTGTGGAGAATAAGGCAGCTTTGTATCTTCCAGTGGTCTGAAGTCTCAGTTGAGTCACAGAACTCTTGAACACAGATCTCCCACGCCATAGGCTGTGGTAGTCCAGCAGTTAGAAGTATACAGCTGGCACTTAACAAATATTTGTTCAATAAAGTCTACATTCATTCTGACTTGAACAGAGTTCCCTATATGGCCAACTCTGTAGAAATATGTTTCCCTGTGTACCTATTTGTCCAATAAATATCTACAGCCATCACACAGGGGCTGGTACAGTTGGGAAATCGATAGTCCAGATTTGAGCTGCGCAATAATGTCTCCCGTACAGCAATTTCCAATGCTTTATGAGGATTGAAGGGTGTGTTTGTGTTTTTTCTCCCACTTGGAGGGAAACAGTTGCCTTCCCTGCTGATTTTCTCTGTTTCAAAAGTGTTTATGAAGTGATATTGTACCCATAATTTATTTAAGTTTCAGATATGCGTCCTAATACCAAATCATGGTCTGAACTGATACATTAAATTTACTACTTAAATTTATTCACCACTAGTAGCACAGTGGGTAGGACATTTGCCTTGCATACGGCTGACCTGGGTTCAATTCCTCTGTCCCTCTCGGAGAGCCCGGCAAGATGCTGAAAGTATCCCACCTGCAGGGCAAAGCCTGGCAAGCTACCCATGATGTATTCAGTATGCCAAAAACAGTAACAACAAGTCTCACAATGGAGACGTTACTGGTGCCCGCTCGAGCAAATCAATGAACAATGGGAGGACAGTGCTACAGTGCTACTACAGCCTTGAGGAAGTTGGTCATGGTGGTGCTGTTCATTGACTGGTAAATGTGGAATGAGAAGGGCTAAAAAACCGACTTTCACCAAGAGTGACCACAGAATATTCCAGGGAAGATGTGCCTGTTCTTAACCATGTCCAAGGAGAAAAAAGCACCAACTCTGCATCAAATCCATCCACAAGGGCATGTTTCCCTATAGATAATGCCGGCAAGGCTGACTAACTGTGCCTAAAAACAGGCCACATAGTCAAATTGAGTGGCTCCGTATTTAATAAAATTGGGGCCAATGCTTAATTATTCTTGAAAAGTCCACTTTAGTACCGAGTCAATACATCACACACCTGCCACAGCAAATTCAACAGGAATAAACAGATTCGGCAGCAAACACACTCTAGCTAAGTCCTTGAGTCTACTGTGGGGTACATGGTTCTGTGAGAACATTCTAGAAGCAAACAAAATCCAGTCATCCCCATGTCAAGTCAAGGGTGGCTCAGAGTGTCTCATCTTGTGAGAAAATGCATGAGAACTGGAGAGTACACAAACATACAAACGCATGGGTTTGCACATGGGTCAGTACTACCTGCTTTATTATCACAAAATATAACAGAATAGAAATGTTAACTATGTTGCTTGATGACCAGAGGAGTTATGAGACATTCCTACAGTGAAATGCTTGACACTTGGGAAGGATCTTCTGGAAGTCCTGCCCAGAAAACACGTTCCTGGTGAAATTTCATTTCATTTTTTCATTTCATCATCCTGTTAATCGTCGATTGCCTCGAGCAGGCCCCAGTAACGTCTCTTTCATCCTAGCCCTGAGATTATATTCACGGCTCTTTAGGAGAATGAGACCCATCATTGTTACTGGTATTTGGCATATTTGGTAGCCACGGGGAGATTTGGTGAAATTTCATTTTTTAAAAATTTTTATTTATTTTTTTATTATTATTAGTTTGTTTTGTTTTTGCTTTTTGGGTCACACCCAGAAATGCACAGGGGTTACTCCTGGCTTTGTACTCAGGAATTACTCCGAACAGTGCTTGGGGGACCAAATGGGATGTTGAGAATTGAACCCGGGCTGACCATGTGCAAGGGAAACACCCTACCCACTGTACTATCTATTGCTCCAGCCCTCTGGTGAAATTTTAGATGAACAAAAATATCAGTGTGAAAATTGCTGTGGTGCTCAACACAAAAGAAGCTGGAAACATATACATTGAATTTTCACTGTGTTCAGGTTTGAAGTGTTTGATCTTTCGAGTGATACAGCTTCCTTTCAGTATTGGAGACTGAGAAGGGGATTCTCACTTAGGGGAGGGGACAGCCTGGCCGTGAGGGTGCTTGGGCCTCCCTGCCATGGCCTCTGGGCTTCAGCGTCCTCCTAGGGCTAGGTCTGAGGCAGCAGAGATAAACTTTGATATCCCAGGGTGGCACCGCACCCTGGGAGGGGCCGGGGGAGCTGCAGAGTGCTGGGATTTCCGGCCAGGGTTTGTGTTGAGAGAAGCAGGAGACGCTCTCCCCAGAGGGGTCCCCCACCCCCACCTTCCCGCCAAAAAAACCAGTGAAATGATGGTGTTTCAGGGAGTATCCAGGAATATATTCTCTCCCCACTGTCTCTCCATGGGGAGCTGCATTTGCAGGAGGGCCAAGCATCAGGAAACACCAAGTTTCTAATCAAGACTCCCTGATTCTGGGCATCTGGGATCCGTTAAGTAAGGAAAAGTGTCCAGGAACAAAAAGTGCCCTCCAACATACTGCCCAGGCCAGGAAAAGGTAGGGTCACTAAAGGCATGAAAAAACCACAGAAGGCCGTAGGGCAAACTTCCTGGTCCTTATCTCTACTATTCGTGGGTGTTAGTCTCCCATTCTGTTACTTTGTATTTCCCAGATGAGTGCAATCTTTCTGTGTCTGTTCCTCTCTTTCTGACTCATTTCACTTAACATGATATTTTCCATGTTGATCCACTTACATGCAAATTTCATGCCTCACATTCTGGGGGAAAAGGCAGCTCAGAGAGAGAAGGGAATACTAAGTAAAGGTTGCTAGGAGGACACGCTCGGGTTAGGAGCTGCCGAAAATAGACTATAAACCCAACATGATGGCCACTCAATACCTCTATTGCAGACCACAACACCCAAAAGGAGAGAGAGAGAAATAAAAGGGAATGCCCTGCCACAGAGGCGGGGTGGGGAGGTTGATAGGGTGGGGTGAGGGATACTGGGATCACTGGTGGTGGAGAATGGGTACTGGTGGAGAATGGGTACCCAATCATTGTATGACTGAAACACAAAGGAAGTTTCTAAGTATGTAACAGTACCTCATGGTGATTCACTAATAATAATAATAATAATAATAATAATAATAATAATAATAAACCAGAGAAGTCATAAAGGAGAGAAAACAAAAGCCAAAAAGCCCTGCAGCCCAGATATGACCCTCAGCCATCTGGCCCGGGGCCTCAGCTCGGGGCAGGGCTGGGGAGTGGTGAGGAAGAGAAACATCCGGAGAGCAGGAACAAAGACAAGGTGAGAACCGGGAGTTTAGGGAGCACCTTTACTAGTTCTAAGGTCAAGGCCTATCTCGGGGAGGGGACGGGGATTCAGCATTCCCTTGGAGCCCATTAGTTTGATGAATGCTCTAGACCACAACCTGGTAAGGGGAAATACAAGGATATAAATCAAAGACGATGAGTCTCAGGCCTGACCTTGGCCACCTCAGCAGGCCTGCACCTGCATCTCAGACACACTGTGTTCTCACTCAACCTTCCAGGTGAGGTTAACCTCTTGGCCGACATCCCCAGAGCCTTAGTGGGATGGGAAGTGGATTCCTTCCCCTTCTGCCTGGTTGATAGCCTCCACGCCTGACTGTGTCCATCACAACAGAGAACTCTCTTGGTATGTTAGAGCCTCTGCTGCTCATTCAATCATCCAGGCCCACACCCACACCCTGCACCCATAATTCTGCTCAGACTTGTTTGTATCCTCAATTGTATGGCCACTTAAGTGGCCACGTGACAGCTCTACCCATTACACCTTATGCTGAAAACACTTCTACCTCGTGCCACCGGGTGAGGGGCTGACCAGGAAGGAGAAGGTGACACTCAGCTCACTCCCTCAGAGACTCCCAGTGGGATGAACTGCAAACACTCTCCCTCAGCGCACAGGAAACATGACAGGAAGTCACCCGGAAAGTCCACCAAACTCAATGAGTTGAAAAATAAGAGCACAGAAGGTCCCACTGGAACCTTGACAGAAATGAGGAGTGATAGGTGAAAGTACAAAACCCAACAGAATGATTCTGGGCAGCAGTAGAGTAACGGCAGCCAAGGGAAAGATGGGTGAACTCCAAGATAAGATGCAGGAAGCCATTAGTAAACAACAGATGACGGGAACAAATGTGAAAAGACATGAACAACACACTAGAAAACCATGGGATAAGTTTAAGAGGAATATACAATCATCACTAGAGTCCCTGAGGAAGAGGAAGGCAAATTCAATGACGAACCACCAGTCAAAAGACATCATAAATAGGAATTTCCCAGAGTTGAGGATTGCAGGCACCCAGATCCAAGAGGCCTGAGAAGGTCCCAGAGAAAACAGTCAAATAGAAAAGCTCCAAGACACACTGTACTCAGAAAAACAAAAGTAAGAGACAGAGACAGAATTCTGAAAGCAGTATGATTAAAGAAGAAACTTAGGGGCCGGAGCGATAGCACAGCGGGTAGGGCATTTGCCTTGCACTTGGCCAAGATGACCAATCCGAGTTCGATTCCTCCGCCTCTCTCAGTGAGCCTGGCAAGCTACCAAGAGTATCTTGCCCTCACGGCAAAGCCTGGCAAGCTACCCGTGATGTATTTGATATGCCAAACACAGTAACAAGACTCACTTGCAAAGTTCTAAAAGCAAAAAAAAAAAAAAAAAGGAACTTAGAGACAAAGTGTCCATAAGAATTACTCTTATACCCAATGAGGCTCT